TCCAGCTCTGAAGGGTCTTAGTTGAGAAGCAACACGTCTTCAAAAAAACAACCAGAAAGTCCGGTTGCCTCTTGAAAAAAACAATCACCTTCAGGACAACCGTGACTTGGAGGACTGGAAATCTCCATGGACATCTTCAAGGAAATTTTAAAAAACCAAAGTGCAGTTGCCTTTGGCAACTTACAATAATTTCAACGAAAACAGGGTCACCCGTGATAAATAGCAATCGAATGAAACGATTAATACAGCATTGAATTGTCCCGCGTTGAGTTGGCCTAGATCCAGTTGGTAGACCTCTCCTGCTCCATCGTAGGATTTCTGAAGGTCTCAAAGGCAACACAGTAGGGTCTTGCCCAGCCAGCCTTCATCCTACGCCTTGGTGGCCTGGAGACAGGAACCCCGTGGAGAACATACCTGGGCCATTGTTGTTCAGGGAAAGAACTAAACCGGGGTGCAAGAACTGAAGTCTTGACTTCTGGGGAAGACTACGCTGTTGGTCGTGGTCTGGGGAGGCAATAACAGTCATTGTTGCTCTTGGTACCTGACGTTGAGTTGTATTCTACAAATACCTCCCTTCTGCTGGACTACCTAAAATTTACATTAAGGCATAACCATTTACCAAATTCATACAAAAAGACTTTGGGGAAAAGAAGTACCTCACAGATTCATCAACTGCTACATCTTGAAAACCTGGTAGCTTTTTTTTTTTTTCTTTTCCTCTTAACATAACACTCGGGACAATTTTATTATTATTATTTTGTTCATAGAATCTGCAATACATCACATTTTTTTAAACATCGATCTGGGTAACAAAACCTGTTCCGAGACACAGTATTTCAAGATGTAGATCAGTGGCAGGACAGTAATAGAAAGACAACGAAACAGACAATTTTACACCTACAGTAAACGTTTCTCCGTAATTGGCCAAAAGAAAAGGAAAGGAAAGGAAAGAAATTTCCATCTAGGTGAGGAAAAAAATGATTTCTAGTCCAAGTACAGCCACCATTTCCCCACTATTTTATCTAAAGATGCATCACGATAACCCTAGTCTAATGTTTGATGTATTTGACTTCTCTTTCTTTAAAAAGAGAGACAGTAGTTGGAAAGAGGCTGTGATGTAGATTCCTCTGTGTGGTTGAGGTCACCTTGGATTTCTCTACTCTACAAAATGTAATTCAAAACAGAAACGCCAAGACCAGACCTTCTTCTCCAATACTTGAAGGCCACCTCCAAAAATGGGAAACCTTCAACATTATTTTCCTAAGTAGCTCTTGGTTGAACTGCAAGTCCTTCATGGGAGAATCCCTCCACAGGAGAATCCCACCAAAGAGAAGTCACCTCAGCGGCTTCCTTAAATAAGCTGAAGTCTTCCATGATTCCCCCCGGTTGGCCTTCCAAGTGCCAATTTTAAGTCTTCAAAACGATAAAATTAGACGATGAGACTGGGGTAAGAGAATTGAGTACATCCCCAAATATACACATTTCATTGGAAGGCCTTGTCATGCTGGTGGACCGCAAATTATGAAGCTCAACCAAAGCAGAAGGAATTCCCACCAACATCTGGACTAGCATAACCACCTCATACTGACGCTCCGCTGAAATCCACAGGAGTCACCTCCATCATGGATGAAAGATGGAAGTCTCGGGGTAAAATTTCCTTAAACCCCTCTAGCTGTGATGGCGAACCTTTTCAGCACTGAGTGCCCAAACTGGAATGTGCGTGCATGCGTATTAATGCGCGTGAGCCGGAGAACCCGAAACCCTGTTTTTGGGCTGGTCTTGGCCGTTTTTCAGGCCATTTTGGGGTCATTTTCAGGCTGTTTTCTGGGCCACTTTCAGGCCATTTTGGGGGCAGTTTTTCAGGCTGTTTTCAGGCCATTTGGGGGCCATTTTCAGGATGCTCTCAGGCTGTTTTGGGGGGCATTTTCAGGCTGTTTTCCAGGCCATTTTGGGGCTTTCATGCTGTTTTGGGGCCATTTCAGGGCTGTTTTCTGGGACATTTCAGGCCGTTTTGGGGGCTGTTTTTGGCCCCCAAAACAGCTTGAAAACTGGCCTGAAAAGAGCCCCCAAATGGATGTTTTTCAGGCCATTTTCCGGTGCTCCACGCCCTGAAGACCAGCTGGCCAGCACACATGTGCATGCCAGAAACCAGCTGGTGATTGTGTGTGCCATAGGTTCGCCATCACAGCCCCTATAGATACAGCCGGTCGTGCTCCTGACATTGAGAGGTCCATCCAGAAGTTTCCTCCACACACAGCAACATCTACAGAAGGTTCAACATGCCTCAATCAACGAAGTCTTTGCGGCAGGTCCACAAAATGTGGTCAAAAAATGTAAATCTGGCAGCCACGATAGCCCATTTGAAGTTATGTCCATTCTTTTAAGTACCGTAATCACCTGGGCTGTTGTTTTTTTTTTTTGATCACACTGTGTAGACCACCTTGGCCTTCGATGATCCCCACACCGAATCCCTATCAGAAAAGTCCCCCCCTACAAACATCACCTAGGATTAGTTGGTAAATGAAATCTGAAATTAGGTATTTTGCCCGCAATTTTTTCCCTCCCCCCCCAACACCGTGTAATACATATCATGGACCGATACATGCACTAAAGAGATATTTTTTTAAAAAAAACCAAAACCAAAATATCCTAATCTTGCATGTGAAAATGTACACCTTGCTACAATGGGTGAAATGCACGGCTAACAGGACTTAGGTTGAGAATGACCAACGTGGGCCAACATTTAAGCCCATTTCTTGCTCAGCTCCGCAGGGGTAGGGCTGTGACTAGTAGCTGTTGATCCAAATTCTCCCAAAATAAGGCCAGAAAAGTCCCCTGGCTTCACGACCTCTGGCACCCCCGTGGAATATAAAAAATAACAACTGGGATCCAGCTAAATTTAAGACAAACCAGGGATTGTGGTTTGATCTGGGAAAGAGTGACAACGGGCAGCCATGTGGCCCTTTTCCAGGAATCCCCATTTGCACCACTGTGTAGAGCGGGTATCCAAGACACGTGGGCTGCTGGGGAATTCTGGGAGTTGAAGTCCACAAGTCTTAGAAGCGGCCGAGGTTAGACATCCCTGGTGTAGAGCAACGAGTAGTCTTCCCCTTCATGAGCCAACTGAAAGGAGAGCCTGAACAGTAGTAGACATCTTACTACTGTTCTTAAGACTCCCCTCGTGGTTTCTAGTTAAGGCAAGGAAATTTAAGCCCAACCAGTGACTGTATAAGCACAGCGGGAAGAGCAGCTAAGCTGGTTTGATACAAACAAGATGGAGGACTGGTGGCAACGGCTGTCTCATCCTACCGTCAGGGATAAGTTTCACCTCCCCAGAGATGACAAAGAAACCTTGTACTACTTGTTGGGTACAGGTGATGGCCAACAGGACAAACCCCACTGAGGAGAACCCATCTTGGCTCAGCTCCATGTGGTCTTCTTCTCAGGGCTTTCCTAAGAGAAGGACCCGGAGGATTTCTGATGGGCCACGAGACACAAACGGAAGGAGGTTCTAAACCAGAGGTCCCCAAACTTGGCAACTTTAAGACTTGTAGACTTCAACTCCCAGAATTCTCCAGTCATCTATGCTGGCTGGAGAATTCTGGGAGTTGAAGTCCACATGTCTTAAAGTTGCCAAGTTTGGAGACTTCCGTTCTAAACCTCGGGCTCCCTCCAGGCCAAGAGCTCAAACGGCCAGCATCTTCTCCTTTCCTTGAAATGGACCTTCAAAAGTTGGACACAACCAAATAAACACAGTGGCCCACAATCCAGCTGAACTCAAAAACTGAGACCTTGGGGAACCCCAAGGCCCAAAGTATGCATCTGTGGGATATGATGACCGGCCCCGCTAAAATACCAGCACAGAAATGTTGGAGAACATGTGAACCAGCAGGCCTCGAAAACCTGAAGGTGCAACATTCCCAAATAACCATCGCTGGCCTTTCCCGAACCAAAACCTTCTCCCTTTTCTGGATTTTAGCCCATTCGGTCTGTGCTGACCTGGATGTCTCACCCCTTCAGACTGAACTAGACGGCAAGGTTGGTCTGAATTAATTTGGCCCATCCTCCTCCCTCGAGATGTTCTCTTCAAATTCAAGCTTTGGAGACCCCTCTGCAAACCTGGGAGGAAAACCACCATGAAGCCAGAAGCCCCCACGAATTCTGTCCAAACAGACCAGATGGAGGGAAAAGCCATTTTCAGCGGTCACCACAGCAGCCTTAAAAGTGAGGCTCAGTTCCTTCTTGCCGTGTCTTCACACAGGTCCTACTCAAAAGCAAACCAACAATTGAAGATTGTTCCTAGCTGAAATGAAGCCCAGTTCTGTGGGGCCACCGTCTCTTCTCGCGCCCCACCGATTAAAGACTGTTGCCATCGGTCTCGTTCTCTTTTGAAGACCATCTCCCCAAGGAGCTCAACCAGGACCTCGATGGAAACTCTACCTGTAACCAAGAGCTGAGATCTTGGCTGAATCTTTCTATTTTGGGTTGGTCACCTACAAGCAACTTCGACTGGTCTCTTACTCCTGCTCTTCGCTGCCGTCTCTTTCTCTCCCCAAACCCAACCCATCCAAATGACGTTCATGGACATCTCTAACGTCTACGATGGAAACAACCCCTTGGAAGAACCTTTGCGTTTCATATTCAACCTGCCCAAAGCTCGGACACGACCCATGGCGATGCAAACCTACGACTCTTTCACAAAAACGATATATTAAAAAAAAATGAAAAACAAAATCAAACCCGAAAAAACATTATCATCATCATCATCATCATCATTTCTTCTTCTTTTTTTTTTTTTTTTTCAACCAGTCTACAAGCCTACCACAATAAGAAGAACCCTGCCCTAGTCGGGGGAATGCACATTTAAATAGCTTTGGAATCCCAAATTAAACGTTTTTTTTTTGTTAGAAGCTAAATTACAAATCGTGTGAGAGAGGAGCGTGTGCATGGATGTATGTGTGCGTGTGTGCGCTCATGTGTGTGTGTGTGTGTGTGTGCGATGTGTTTTGTTGTTTGTTTTATTTGTCAACAATTGGTTCTCTTTCTTTTTCTTTTTTAAGCCGGAGGGCTGAGATTTCAGACTTTTGCGTTTTCTTGAGGCGGCGGAGCTTCTGCTGTCTGTGGTTCTAGGACAGAGTATTTCACTAGGGAAGGAAAAAAAGAGAGAGAAAATTTTAGCTTGGTCTTGTAGGAAAATAAGAAACATACAAACTGGCCGGCAACTGTCATGCCCCTGTCGGAATCTGACTCGGAGGAGGAAGACCAACAGCTGACAGGGAGCGGGAGTGTGGCTCCATTGACTGTGGAGGAAACTGGGGAAGGGCAAAGTCTGGCTGGGCAGAGCAGGGGAGAGGTAGAACAAGGGAGAGGGAGTTCAGCGGAAGACCCAGGTCCACCCCCTCTTCATCCTAGGGCATGCAGAGAGGAATGGAGAAGGGAGCAACATGGGTCGTGTGAGTTATGGGGGAGGAAAGGGTCCTGATTCCCTTCATTAGCTGCAGCTGGGAACACAGTGTATAAAAAAAAAAGGCAAGTTACATGCAGCAAGCTGTTGGAAGCAAATGTGAATTTATCTTGTATTGTTGTGGCTTATCTGTGTTCCTGGCATCTTCTCAACTATGTGAGTTTTTGCTGTGCTTTCAAGTCTGAATTTTTTTCTCCTGCCCTGTCAAGCTAATTACTTCAGTTTGATTTGTTTGGATTTTAAGTTACAGTTTGTGTGTACCTTGTTTTTGGACTGAATTATCTACAGTCAAAGGCTGTTCCTGGGAGAGTTTTTCTCCAGCCCGAAGGTAACCTGGACATTGGGGGCGAAGTTGGAGATAATAAAGGGACTCTTATTGCTTATCTGACTTTGGCTTTGTGCCATTCTCCTTTGGGTCATCACAGCAACTGTAGAAGGCCATGTGTCAGCTTTGGAAGCCATATTGACACCAGACACTTCCACACTGCCACCTTCTTAAGCCTGGGAAAATGGGAGGGGGGGGACTTTCTTGGAGTGTATGTGGTTAGACATAATAGCATTCTTTTTCTAAGTCAAGGTCATGTCATTTCTGCACCTGGGTGTGCGGAAGTCTCAAGTTGGGATGGGTGTGATTGGGTCATGTGATGCAATGATGAGTGCAGGGGGTGGATTTGTACTTTTTTACTTATTGCAAGGAAACCTGGAACTTTCAGATTTGGGATTCCCCAGATGTGCCCGTTTACTATCCAAATAAAACAGAACTTTTGAGAAGATGGTCTGTCTCGGAGTGATTTGTTGGAGTGGAAGTTTTCTGGAATGCCGACACCATGTTCATCAATCAATCAGAATAGAACTGGAAGTAACTTTAGAGGCCTTCTACTCCGACCCTTTGTGGCCTCCTTTCAAATACTGGAACACTACTACCAACTCGTGGTCTACACACGTTACGGTTCTGCAGCCTTTCAAAAACCATGCCCCCTCCCGAGCTATCACCACAAAGCTGGCACGCAGTGCGTTGTGACACACTGTGCCCTTAAGGACACAACACACCCACTCACCTTGTGGCTCTTCGGTCACCACTGCTTCCATGTTTTCTCCTTTCACATACTCGGCATTCAGGCCCTCTAAAAATAGCAGAGAGCAGGAGAGATTTGACACCCAATTTTAAAAGTGGCACAGAGGTTGCGAGACGACCGAAGCTTCAACGCAGAAAAAAACGGAGGATGCTCCTAATAAATGCTCTTCCTGGGAGACGCGGCCAAGGCAGCACCGAAACAATTCTGAAAACCAACCTGATTTATAAGATCACAAAATCTCTTTTATTTGTGTCCTCAGGACAGCCCTTGCAGCACCTCATGGGGAGAGAGAAATGTGATACTGTGGACTCAAAGGCAAACTAGATAAAGAGGTTCGGATTTTAAAGAGCATTTTTTTGTGCTCCGCTTCTCCTTCTCTGACGTTATTTGCATTTTTAAACCTCCAACTTGAACTCCGAAACAGGCGAAGGATTCATGGCACCTTCCAGGTGTGGGTGAATCATGATGCACAACATGGCCTACAGGAGTCGACAGCCTCGTCCCAACCTCAGATAACAGATAATCAGAGTTGGAATGAACCTTGTAGGTCATCTAGTCCAACCCCTACAGCACGTTAGAACACAGTTGGCAGGGACCTTGGAGGTCTTCTAGTCCATCCATTATTCCTTGTCTGGCCTTCAGGGGCTTTGGAAAATAGCTTGACCCCTTACTCCTCTCTGGGGCAGCCCCTCAAATATTGGAAGGCTGCTCTCCTGTCTCCCCTGGTCCTTCTCTTCCCTAGACTAGCCAAGCCCGGTTCCTGCAACTGTTCTTCATATGTTTTAGTCTCCAGTCCCCTCATCATCCTGGTTGCTCTTCTCTGCACTTTTTCTAGAGTCTCAGCATCTTTTTATAGTGTGATAACCAAAACTGCATGCAGTACTCTAGGTATGTCCTTATTAAGGATAGACAGACAGACAGACAGACAGACATGATAGGTAGGTTTGTAGGTAGGGAGGGAGGGAGAGAGAGAGACATATATATACATAGATAGATACATAGACAGACAGACAGACAGTCAGACAGATAGAGATGGTAGGTAGACAGACAGACAAGCCGTGCCCAGTTCCTGCAACTGTTCTTCATATGTTTTAGCCTCCAGTCCCCTCATCATCCTTCTCTGCACTCTGTACCTCACCTAAACAACTTCTAGCACCAACTCCCTCCCTCTCTCTTCCTTTTAAATCTTTGCATTCCTGCTTTCCCCCCCCCCCCATTTCAAACAGATCCAATGAGTTAGATCAGAGTTTAGATCACCCTTGGGAGAAGCTGTGAGCTGAAATCTGGAGGCAGGAGGGTGATCAAATCTCATCCATCATTTGCTTCTGCCATTCAAAACGGGGGCATCCAAAATGCCACGTGTGAATCCAGCCGAGAGGCTTGTTTCGTGCCATTTCCTTTTTTTTAAAAAAAAAAAGCCCCTTCAGGAGCTGCTGCGCGCACTGCCATGCATCCAAAGCCTGACATTATCCCAGCATGCCTCATCTGATGGCTAAAATTAATCCTCCGTTATAATTAACTTTAATTTCCTGTTGCCTTTTTGTGGGGCATCTGCGTTGCCGCCTTTATCAAAACGCTTTTCTAGACCTAAGAATGTTCCTTCTGCATTTCTAGCATGCACAGAGATAACACATGCACCTGTACGAAGATCTACCCCTATGTTTAATTCCCTCATATTGATGATAGGTATCTATCTATCTATCTATCTATCTATCTATCTATCTATCTATCTAT